CGTGAATGCTGACGCATATATCCCGATAGAACCCCCATATCCCCCTTTAAAGGTATCCCTAATCTTGGGAAACCCTAAACCCTATATATCCCTGGAAGAATAGAACCCCCATATCCCCCTTTGAAGGCACCTCTAATTTTGGGAAACCCTAAAACCCACGTATCCGTATAGAATCCCCATATCCCTCCTTTTAAGGGACTCCTATTTTTTGGGAAACCCTAAAACCCTGAGCCATACATATGCAAAGGTCAGCTGCACCGTGGGCCTCACCAAATGGCAGCCTGCAGGACATGGTTTAGGGTATTAGGGTTTAGGGTGATGTCACTTCTGTATTTGGGGGTTTCCCAAAACTTAGGTATGGGACTTCTATAGGGATTCCCAAATTTAGGGGTACCTTTTGAGGGGAATATGGGGGTTCTATAGGGATATATAGCGTTTAGGGTTTCCCAAAACTAGGGTTTAGGGTTTATGGATCAGGGATTAGGGTCTCCCAAAACTAGGGGTACCTTACTGGGGTTCCCTAAATATAAGGACTATAGTATTTTGGCGTCTATATTGGGGTTCCCTGTTCCCAGAAATTACCATTTCTAGCATCAACACTTTTATCAAAACGTCACTTCCTATCGTCAATACGCATTTCATCAGTGCGAATACTAGCATGACCGTTTCAACAGCTGTGCCGCAAGAAATGTTTGTTGCAGTCGACTCTTGTTTTCCACATTTCTGCTGTGACGCAATCCCTTCCTCTAATTATTCTTGAATATTGAGGATGTTTTGTGGAGGAATATGTTGGGAAGAGATGCCTGAAAAAGTGCAGGTATGGCAACAAGGCGGTGTGCATTTGTGCGTCACGCAGGCCTTGCATTGCAGCCCCCCAAACCATGTTTTTTTTCGCAGGAACCCGTTATGAAGTCAGGGGGTTCTTCAATTTTGCGGGCAAGCACTGTGAAGGAGCACTTGCAGTGATTGCAGCTACAGCAGCAGCAGCAGCAGCAGCAGCTTCCTGCGCGTGAACAGTTCAAGCCATTTGCTGCTGTAGCTGTTCTATTTTCTACTAGTACACTTGCCCTCCGCGGTGCTCTCACCAGGGTTATTCACTCATGCTGTCTGATTGTAACGGCGATGATGAAGTTGATGATGATGATTATGATCATCATCATCTGATCACGTTTTTACGCTTCTGCAGAGCCGATACTGCTTTGCTTACTTGAGCCATAATCTAATCTCCTTGAAGGGGGTCATATAGGGGAGAATATAGGGCAGTATTCAAGGGGTCATTAACTGGAATACTGGGTGTTTAGACTATGGCTCACTTTTGCTTTGCAGAAAAAAGTCCTTCGGTAGTAGTGTGGAAGGCAATTTTCAGACAAAAAGCTGAACTAGGTGCCTTTCACTTCAGCGTACCTGACCTTAGTACTAGTACTATTTCTATTACTACTACGATTACTATGATTCTGATTATTACTATTACTGTTGCTATTACTACTACTATTATTATTACTCTTATTATTCTTTTTACTATTACTATTACAAGTGCTATGATTGTTGATGTTATTGTTACTATTTCCATTATCATTACTATTTCTGTTACTGTTATTGTTACTATTACTATTACCATTACTATTGCAATTACTATTGCCCTAAAACCTAAACTACTATCAATATTGCTATTACTACTTTTATTCCTACTACTACTACTACTACTACTATTGCTTGAGGACTTGGATCTTCCCCTCAACGGCTCTGCACCAGAATTTCCAGGCTAGGGCTGTCGACCGTGGACGGTTTGAAGAATGGGGAAGCTTCCAGGGTTAAGGAGTTAGGATTCAAGGTTTAGGGTTTAGGATTTAGAGTTGAGGGTTTAGGGTCAATCCAGAGCTATTACTAAGATGCCCAGTGGTACCCTTCTATCTTATTTGCCTTCTGGGTTCACTTAAACAAGGAATCAATGTTTAAAAAAGGGGTTACATTATTGTAGCATGGTTACGTACGGAGTTACCAAGTTTAGGGCGCGGAAGCTCCAAAAGTGAGCATCGGGATTGACTGGGGGGTTTCCCAAAATTAGGGGTATATTATTTGGGAGGTCCCTATAATGAGGACTATAGTATTTGGGGGTCCATATTGGGGTCCCTGTATTTTCGGAAATTACCATTTACAAGCTGAGTCTGGAGTGCTGCTGGAAAAGGATTACATGAAGGTTTCCATTGGAAAAGAAAATGGAAATTGGGATCGTGTGTAACTTGCGACTTCGAAATCAAGACTATAGCACATTGCAGTCTAGTTTGGGCCCCTTGTGTTTGGAAACTGCCACTTCGACGAGAGATTACATTAAGGTGACACGCAACCAAGCATTGCGAAGACTTTAGAAATATAGGTTTAGGGTATGCCCTGTGTACAATGCTCATATCTCAGGCTACATGGGGCTTTCCCAAAAGTACGGGAGCCATTCTGAGGGTCCCCACAACAAGGATATTGGCGTCTAGATATGAAGTCCTCTGATTTACGCAGACAACCACATGTTCGTACCTTAGATCACGTCGCCATGGGAATTTCGCGCGGGGTAACTACATAAGCACTATCTAACACTCGAAGCATTTGGCATGTGTATGCCATACTTAGCCCCAATGTCATCTGATCCGCCCGTTGAACCATGAAAGGAGTATTTGCTACCAGTCCTTCCCCCCACACCTGATGATGAACCCCCCCAACTCTTAATGAGAAGATGAAGATGTAGGTAACAAAAGTGTACATGGAGTTCACTTCCAATGTAGTACCATTGTAGAACAGATGCCTCATTTTGACCTGACAGGACCGGAAGCCAAGATCACACCAATGTCTAAGGCAGCGCCGGGTATAGGCATCAAGCGACCCTGAGCTGCAATTCATGTGACAGACTCCTGATTAATCGCTACCAACATGATTTTCTGATAGCCCTCAAACAGCTTCAGCAAAACGTACCTAAAAACCTCACACCTTTTGTCTTCCGCCAACGTATACATATCAGAAAACGCAATCTCACTCGATCAGCCAGCGGCATCACATTACACAAGTGGCTGCAATGAGGAGTGGGGAAAGTTGAGCCCAAGGAGGTGTGGTCGAAGAGCTGTTGCAAGAGTGTCATCTCTGGTATTGATCTTGCATTAGGGCTCAGACAGGCTTACATGGCTGTTTGACGTGGAGGGTGAGAGATGGAGTGAGTGGGCGTTCAGCCTAACAACCGCAGTTGAAGCATGATGTGAGAAGATGCAGCCCGGAAGTGTCAGTAAGAGGGAAGCGCTTCAGAAAACAGCTGTTCACATGCCTTCTTCCCCACCCCGGCCACCATGCTCTGCAAAGTTGCGAAGGTGGCTCCTGTGGGTCCCGACCCTCAGGGCCGGACCACAGCAAGACCGGCTAGTGCTTACCGGAGTGCTTGACTGCATAGGATTCAGAGCATAAGAAGTCGAAACATGCCAAAAAACGTATTACCAGACAACTGCTAGGGTTATATAGGGATAACGGCAAAGAAAAAGGAAACTACTATAATGGGGTTATATACGGATTATATAGGGGTAAATAGGCTTTTATAGTCTGAGGCTTAGGTTGCTTGAGTTTTCTTATGCTGCACGGCTAGGATTTCAACGGTCCCCCATGGAAAGACCACAGATGCATTTGGGATCATTTGGGCTCACGAACTCCCATCTCCTGTTTGTAAGAACCTTTGCCCATGTGCCCTGGACATCTGCAACGGCCAGGTCATGTTGAGGAATCTGCCCAACAATTACACAAGGGAGTCTCAGCTGCACGCCAAAAGTGTTTTTTGAGGGTAGTGATCTTTGACCGTGTTTCATCCCTTTACATTGACCAGCTGAGGTATCCCAGATTGTTGTTGACTCATTAAAAAGTTTTAGGGCCAGAGACTTTGATGAGCGGAGTTGGCATCAGATACGCAAGCAGGTGCAAGGAAGGACAGGGTTCCACTAATGCATGGCGACTGTTGGATTAGACAATTCCTTTTGATGGGACCAGTGCCACAGTGAACAGTGCAGCCCAACGGAAAGGCAATGTAGACAGCAGAGGTGCTAGGCCCGATCTGCAAACAGGGTCGGATCTACCTGGTTTGGGTTGAGGGTAGGCTCCAGTCACCCTGGACCTCAGACCCTCATCATCCAAAACCATGGCAGACGAAGGACATGCTCTTGGAGCTGATTGACAGCATGGGCTTCCGTGGACAGTATGCGGCTGGGTGGTAACAGTTTCTTTGTATCCAGAATGGTCAGGAGTGTGTTGAGACATGTATGGGGGTTCATGTATGGCCTGGCCATGTGCTACTTGGATGTTATTCCAAGACGGATCGCGGATGTAGCTAGATGCACTGTTTGCACATTTGCGGAGTTTCGTTCTGACTCTGCCAATCATAGGTTGCATCCTTGGCCTTGAGCTTCTTGGGACTCAGGATTTCTTGTACCTCCCCATCGATTTCCAGACCCACGCGTGCCTGGGCTATGCGTTCGTCAATTTGGTGGATCCAGGCACGAAGTGCATCGGTTCATAGCTTCCCCCCCTTCTTCTTGATGCCTTGCTACTTTGGCAGGTGTGGTGCCCTCGTTTTGGAGGGCATTCGATGGCTTCAGCAATTGGAGCTTGCCAAGCAAGAAGGCCAGACCAGGCATGGGCATTTGATTCGTGATCCCCTTGCAATGCAGGTTTGCTACATCAGCTGGAGCGGCCCCCATCAAGGCAAAGCTCTTCTTGTTGCACCTCCCTCTCCATTTGACTCCTCGATACATCAATGCCTTCTATTGACCTATCAGGGGTGGTTTACATCGCATGGGCAGTAAAGTTGTATCGAGTCATCCTTTTCATCGGATTTTTGGGGGTTTGGGGGTTTACAACTTGGAGGGAGTTAAGAGGATGTCTTGATGACTGTCGACGTTTGCTGGCAATTGTTGGGAATAAGCAAGTAAAGCAGTTGCTTTTCGGAATAGGGCGCTGGTACCATGACACGTTTTTCTTACTACGACAGGTTGCTTCTCACGATGACTAGGAATTGGGGTGATCCCGACAAGTTCGGAACATGTATTTGAGTCTGTGCAACTAGCCTGTAGAAGTGCCACATGCAGGGCATGCAGACAAGAAAGAGCCTGAAGGCGAGACGAAGACAGCCCTTGAAAGTCCCAAAACGCGTACTCCCAAGCGATCTGGGCTCTGATGGGGGGAGCAGCTAAAAGTACACATTTTGGGAGTTTTGAGCCCTCGTAAAGTTCCAAAATGCGTGTGCTCCCAAGCAATCTGGGCTTTGATGGGGGGGCAGCTGGGAGTACGCATTGCGGGGCTTTCTGGGGGAGCAGCTGAGTGTTGTGGTGTTACTGTGGTGCATTCCCGACCGTGACAAGGGTGTCTTGTCATGATGAGTATGTCTGTTTTGTTGTCGTGGTTGCAAAACCCCTTCCTCTTTCGGAACAACTTTCGGCTGCTCTGTGGGAGTTGCCCAACCGCACGCACAATAACGAAGGACCAGCATAGAATTGGCATTTGGCCTGCTGTCCGCAGAAGGATCCTCTCATTCAGGCGAGTTCCCATGCTGGCAAAAAAGGAGGCAGACACGTGTTCCTGACAATACAACAGTTGTCCATCAGTCAGCATCATTGGCTATGCCAATGCCATGTGGCAACTGGCTAAACCAACTCCGGAACATGAACAAGCATAGGTGCATCGCCGCTTTTTTGCAGTATTCAGCCACGCCTGCCTGGCATGTCAGAAGCGGAAAGGATGCGTGGCCAGCACATGCTGTCATCAAATAACCCGGCTCAAAGGAATAAATGACATCAGCCATATCACTGCTCTCCCTATGCCAGGCCACACTCTTTGCGCCCACCCCCCGGGACACAACCACACATTCATCACAACCTGCTTCCTATCGAAAGCAGTTTTCCACAAAAATATGCAGGGTGAGGCCATAAGCCCAGAAAAGAGGACCCCGAATCTTGTTGAGACATGCCTTTACCTAGTCCTCCAAACCTTCCATGTGCCCTCGCAAGAGGTGCTGATCCCCAGGCCTGTACCCGCGCAAAGCCTTTGAGTTGTCCCCACACCCACCCCTTACC